CCCCCCCCTTAAAGTTTATCCTCTGCATCCTGCAGAGCACCAGGGCCCTCATGGGTACCGGGGAGGAGAGCCCAGAGTGTTACAACTCTAGGGATTAATAATAAAGAGAACGAATCTGTTTAGAGCAGTTTAAAACCCCAGAGTGGAGAAACATTAGACGTCATTAGTGATATGCTGCCTCCAGCTCCCAGATCTCCTTATGCCCACAGGTGAACTTTGCTCTCCCTCTTGCAAACTGTTTTTCCAGGAGAGAAGAGAATTTCACCTGGTCACACGCAATTAAGATTCCTTTTCCACCTCCAGCTGAGCTCACCAGCCTGCTGCCTGCCCTTCAGGGCCCAACAGCCTCCCACTGGCCTGGGGTTAGGGAAGGTTACTAGGTGCTTCCATGTGGGTTTCATCTCCCCATGCCCAGAGCTCCGAGGTACTCACTTGCACAGGTTGCCAGCATACAGGGCCTGATTGATGAAGAGAATGGCAGGGGAGGGCACAGGGAGGAATTGACAATAGCCGAGACCCCGGTTTTCAGCACCTTCCTGCAAACGGCACTCCGAGTCTGGGTGCCCTCGCCGCAGCTCGTGGAACACTGGTGGAGAGAGACAGGCCAAATGCACGTAAATGCTGGGACCTATAGGCTAATGGCCTTCTGTATGAGTTTTCAAACTCACCAAAATATGAGAAAAGTTATTTGAGAAAGCAATAGCCACTGAGAGAAATACTAATTACTTGACAATGTAGAAAGACATGTCTATATTGCAGCCACATTCTACTCTGACATTTTCTACTGTAAGGTTTTCTGTAGATATTTCACTTGTTTTTACTTATATGGCCTGGGCTTTAGAGTTACAGTCAGAGAGTACTGTGTTCAAATCCAGATCAATATTTCACTGTTTGGCAAGTTACTTAAACTCTCTGAGGTTGTTTCCGTTTCTTGTGGTTATTTTGCAAGGTTAGGAATTAAATGAGATAATATGTTTTAAATGTCACACAGAAATGACACTCAATGCTAATTCCTTTCTCCTTTCTTCACAAATAATGCCAAGCATAAGATAATTGTGATGTATCTAGGTCATGTGAGGTGGGGTGCTAGATACTATAGAAAAAAGATGTGCAAGATGGTTGCTAATGTCAAGGAGCTGTCATCAAGTGAAGGGAACGAATCCAAATGCACTATTCCAAATGCACTATTAAAATGAAATAGTACATTAGGGAAATAGAAATCAAAACCACAATGAGATACTACTTCATATTCATTAAAATGGTCATAATAAAAAAGATAATAAGTATTGGTGAGGATGTGGAAAAATTAGAACCTTCATACATTGCTGGTAGGAATGTGAAATAGTACAGCCCTTTTGGAAAACAGTTTAATAGTTTCTTAAAAAGTTAAATTTAAGTTTACCATTAGACCCAGCAATTTCACTCCCAGGTGTCTACCCAAGAGAAATGAAAACATACATCCACACAAAGACCTGTATGTGAATATTCATAGCAGCATATTCCTAACGGACAAAAAGGGGAAACAACTCAAATGTCCATTAACTGGCAAATGGATAAACAAAATGTGGTATATCTATACAATGGAATAGTATTCTGTCATAAAAAGGAATTTAGTTCTATGTGCTACAACATGGAAAAACCTTGAAAACATGATGCTAAATTAAATTGTATAGTATTCACATTATACCTCAGTGAAGCTGTTTAAAGAGTTACATAGTAATACAAATTTTAGTAAAAATACAAAACTAAAAGACAAGTGAAGTATTAGAAAATTAATTCTAACAGCTGTTGAATGCTCATGGTACACTAGGGATTTCCTGACCTAGGTCTTGGAGATGGGTAGAGTCTGGACAGGTGTAGAGAAACAGGGATAAGCATGGGAGTCAGGGAAATATCCCGAACAAAGGTAGAGCAGTTCAGTGCAGCATCCAACGCAGGTTTGGGGGCAGAGCTAAACCTCTTTGAGCAGAAGGATCACATCGAGAGTGTCAGGAGTTCAAGAGGTAGTTTGGGGCCAGACGTTGGAGACTTTTAATTTTTCAGACAGGAGGTTTGGAATTGGTTCATAAAGCAATGAGGAGTCATTGAAGGGAGGAGTGAAATGATGAAAGAGGTGTTTTGAGAAGGTTAATCTGGCAACAGTGTCTGGGAGGGATGGGAGTAGGAGATGGATGGCAGGTAGGGATATCTGTTAAGGAGGCAGCCACAGTAGTCCAGGCTTGAGATGATAAAGGCCTGAACTAGGGTCATGGCAGTGTGCCATGTTAACTTGAAAAATGACAGTAAAACCCCCAAAATATTATCTTATCTTTTCAAGTATTATATGTTAGCCCGTTGAAATAAACTATCCCATGCAAAGTTCTATGATCTACACTACCCTGAAAGATATTTAGGATGCAAAAAAATGGGGATGAGAGTCAAACCCATTGGTTTTGTTCCCTGATTATAGATTCCAGATTCCACTTATCCCTTATTTTATTGTAAATGACAGCAAAAATCCAGGGATCAGGTGGAATAGAGGTAAAGAGCCTGGAAAATTTGAAAGCATGGTCATTTTAGTGCTGCTAAGTAGAAAAATAGAAAAATAGACTGTACGTCAGAAGATCGATTTATGATTTTGGTCAAGTCTAGTTCTTTCTCTAGGCTCAATTTTCCACACCTCTCAAATAGGGAAACTAAGCTAGAGCAGGGATTTTCAAACTGTGTTCTATAACTATGTTAAGTAAGTGATTCAGGGACCTCTCATGTGAACTGGAGACCCAACCATTGGAAAACTGGGACCCCTACCCACATTTCAACCAAAACAGCTCTGATTTGATCTGTTTTAGATTTTTGGCTTCATAGTAACATTTCAATTTAAAAAAGAGTTCTGTGGCTTTAATTCTTAAAAGAACAACTAGGCTATAGGATCTTCTAAGTGCCTTCTAGCTTCAAAATTCGCTACTCTGACTTCAATTTCTTTTATTTTTTGGGGGGAGGGACAATGTCCCTAAAAATATGATTTAAAAATATTTACTAGCCAACTCTTTCAGAAGATGGATTTCTTTTAAATAAAAGAAGTAAGGCCTTTTGAGGGTCTTATTCTCAGAATAGAACCCAAGAGTGATTTTATTTGAAGAGTCTAAACCTTTGGCGTGGTTCTGTCTCTGAGGGGTTCTGTGCAGTGACCATGAGACTGAGCCAGAGAGGGGAGGGTAAAGGCGCTCACAGGTCCTCCAGGTCCTCCTTTCGCTAAGGGGTCTTGTGGGTGTGGAATGCACATCTCATCTCAGCCACAGGCCCCCGAGAAGGGCTGCTGGCATGACGGGGCCAGCTGGAGCCTCTGTGAACACCTCCAGGAGCACTTTGTATGGCACCCCAGTGAATCAGTGATTACTTCCCGCTGTTCTCAGCCCTGCAATGTCTGAATTTCCGTTCATCAACCCAGGTAACTCAGGACCTAGTCACATTCCTTGGACAAGAACTAACTATTCCTAGTTCCCCAAATGTAACTTCCTCCCCTAGGAAGACTGGCAAAGGCTGGGGAGGTCTACGCCATGACTCCCGTTCCATCCAGTCAAGGTAGAGCCTTCCTTTTATTTCCTCTCTTCCTGACAATGAGCAGGGATGGAAGAGAATCATAACAATAACTATGGTTAACTTTTACTAGGCACAAAGCACTTAACATGCATCATTTAATTTAAGCCTCCTGATAACCAAAAGGTAGACACTATTATTGTCTCCAATATTCAGATAAGTGAACTAAGGCCAAGAAAGGTTAAGTAACTAGCCCAAGGTTATTAGAGCCTTCATACGTTGCTGGTAGGAATGTAAAATAGTACAATCAATAAGCTGCAGAGTCAGCATTGGAACCCAAGTTTGACTGTTTTCAGTCTCAACTCTTCACACTTGACACTGTTCTAAAGGTCTGCTTTGCTTAATGGGTCCCATGGGACCTCAATCAGCACTCCCCTTTCCTGAGTGCCTAATCACAAGGGTCCCTCCTTCAAATCTGCAGGCTGAAATGAACTTTTTCTGAATTCTGTGTCTCATATGCTCAGAGACTACAAAATCCAGGAACAGGGGAGAACAATTATAATCACACAATCAACATTCCAACTCATGGCAGACTATCACCCATGGACGTAGGAGAGCAATACCTCTTGCAATATGCTCTGGGAGGAGGTCTTCATCTAGAGCCACTTACTTGGCAAATACATCAAGGTTTTCTCCACTGCTTTACTTATTATGATTTTTAAAATACATAATACCATACCCCAAATCAACATTTCACAGAAAAATTACTACCATGTTCATGCATGCACGCGCGCGCACACACACACACTTGAATACACACATGCTCATTTTACAAACACTTTTCCTTTATCTTGTTTCTAAAACATGACATTTTATTGTTCTGAGACATTTGGGGTGAGATATCACCAGAAGGCTAAATTATAAAACCTATGATAATGTTGGCTAACTCTCAATTGCAATGCCCTTAGCAGGCCCATTTGATGGAACTCTATGTGGGTTGATAAAATGTGGGACAAGAATTAAAAGAGCCTCTGTTGATAGAGTTGGCATCTTAATTTTCAGACGAAGCTTCCCCCTCTGTGGAACCAAGTGTCCTGTGATGTATTTCAACCAGAAGCAGCTCCATCCTGTGAGTTGTATATCATCAAGCAAAGAATGAAATAGAATCAGCAGAGCCAATTCAAATGCTGCTATGTGCAGAAACGGGGAGGATCTTGAATCTGATTTTGACATATCACTTCAGGCCTAGTGATTCTGTTCTTGGCTAAATTTGCTTGTGAGGCAGTAATGGGGGTTGGGGGAGGGGCTTCTCTATGGAAGACACACAGGTCTGCAGTAGGCAATTCAAAAAAATGTAGGGGCTGAAAACTAATCAATAGAAGCTGGGTGTAAATGAATTAACTGATGCCAGTGTTAGAATAGGAATTATTTAGACAAATTAGTTGGGGATACATTCCTAACTTGTGAGGCAAGCCAGGAATGGTGAATGCTGATGCAATCATGTCCCTAAATGCAAGACAAGAGGGGAACTCAAGTTCTCTTGCTGGGAAGTTGTGGAAGTTGAGGAGCCAGGAAACTGACAGTGAAGAGGTAAGATTTCCTGGGCCTTCTTTTGCTAATAAGTCATGTTCCTTATTGTCCAGTAACTTGGAAGAGAAGAACTTGAGAGGCTTGGCCCTTCCTGAGTAGAGACTAGAAACATCTGGGAGTAGGAGGTACAGGGAGGCCAGGAAGGCACGTGTGGTGATAGAGGGAGGAGAACCCTGTGTTCTGAGAAGAATCATGGGCCCAGATGGCATGAGTGAGGCCCGGTTTTCTTCCATGAGGAACCTATTTATAACTGCATGCTTCGGTTTGCTGAATGAGGGCTGGCTGCTTAACTCATGCCCCTGTAGACTAGTTAAAAGTTAGTCACACACTGTAGTATAAAAGGCTCCAATAATACTGCCCCATAATGTTAGGAAGGTTGTTCTGTTATGTTCCCGCCTTCTGTATGTATCTATTTGGGGTGCCGCCTTCTCATTTATGCCTCTTTCATCATCTCCTCCTGAGGACCACACATACCTCTGTCCAGTCAGAGAGAAGCCACTCGCTGGGACAGTCATCTTTCTTGCAGGCTTGCTGGGAGGCCAGTTTTGAGGCTGAACAGAAGGTCTCAGGAAGCTCCAGGAAGCTGCCATCGGCCATACGTTGCTTGCAAAGAACCTCGCGCTTCTGGATGCCGCCTCCGCAGGTCCTGGAGCACTGGGGAGGGAAGGAAAGTCAACCCATCATAAGAGAGTGGCAAGTTTTGAGTGCCAAGTTTTGCCTTCTCCTTAGCTGAGTAAAGAGTAAAAAAAGAAAAAAGAGAAAAGAAAAACCAGGAACCAGCCCAAAGGATTTTGTTTCCTCTCCTTGAAATAAATTTTGTAGCAAGATCTACACCCTCTACTCTTAATCTCAAGTATTTAACTAGAGCGTCCAGGAATTTCAAGAGCATTTAAATCTTAGAAAGTTGCTTCTAAACTATGATTTGCAGCCACCCAAGACAACTGGTTTAAAAGGTTAGTATAATAGAGTGTTAAGCATATTTACGATCCAGTGAAAAGAATCTGTGCAGCTTCCTGAATGAACAAGAGAGAGCTCCTGCCATCGGTGTAAATCTGGAGGAATTAATCTGCAGAGAAGGCAGCCCTTTCTAAGTGTAAACACCCACTCCACCGCATTGGAGGGGCATTAAACATGAGGCCTAGTTTGCTGAAGAACTCCCCTGGAACACTTTTCTTGTAGGAGTTGTGATTTCTTAGGGCAGTGGGAGCAAGAGCCACTGAAATTTGGGATACAAGAAAAATAGCTTTATTTCAGGGGTTTTCAGCAGGATCCCAAACACACTGTCTACATGTAACTTAATAGTTATAATCCACTTGCACGAGGAGGGAGAAAGGCCCCCAGCAGCACAGAGTATTGGCTGTTATTCCAAGTATTTGCCCCCTCCCTTATAATAGCACAGGGGCCCTCCATTTTTAGCTTGGCACATGACTTTTCAGCCTACAGACCAGATGTGCCCACCTCCCTTGAAGGTCAAAGTGGCCAGGTGACCAAGTGCTGCCACTGTTGCAGCCATGGCCTCTTAGAACTCGGGGGTCTGTGCTCAGGGCATTGGATTCAGAACTGCAAGGGACATTTCTGCCCCAAGGTCAGGATGGTGATACATGTCCTTGAGTCAAGTCAGAAGGTGGTTGTGGCCCAGCTGTCACCCCTTACTCAATGGTCGCAACCTTGAGTGCATTTTTAAATCACCTGGCGTTTTTCATAAAGTACTGAGGCCTTACATAAATTTAATTATTAAATCAGAAACTCTGGGAGAGGGTTCCCACACATCAGTTTTTTAAATTAGCAGAGAAAGACAAACATCACATGATCTCTCTTATATGTGGAATCTAAAGAACTTAATAAACTGATGAACAGAATAGATTCAATGACATGGAAGCATGGATCAGACTGAGGAATGTCAGAGGGATGGAGGAGGGCGGGTGGGTGGAGGGGGAGAGATTAGCCAAAGAATGTATATGCATATATGCACAACCCAAGGACATGGACAATGGTGTGGAGAGGGACTGGGGATGGGGGTGGGATGAGGTGGAATGGGTCACTGGGGAGAAAAAGGGACATCTGTAATATTTTAAATACAAAACAAAAAAAATAAAGCACTTAAGTTAGAAAAATTTAATTCTATGTAATTCTGCAACCAAGATTGAGAACTATCCCTCAGAGATTTGGCCCTCTACCTACCATTTCCAATGGGAATAAAATAAACATAGAGGGGACAACTGGGGACCTAGAGAGGCCTGTATTAGAGCCAGTGGTTGTTTGGACCCCACTGGAGTAAAAGTGCCTTTTCTTTGCAGTTGTGAATGGCTTGAGGTCACTAAGCTACTAAATAATGAAGTTAGAAAAACTACAAACTTAGTTTTATTAGGCCTTTTTTCCTTAAAAAAAAAAAAGTTTTTATTGATTTTAGAGAGAGAAACATCAATCGGCTGCCTCTTACATGCCCCCTACTGGGGGTGGAGCTGGAAACCCAGGCATATGCCCCAGGAATCCTACAGGAACCTCTCTGTACTTGGGGTGACGCTCAGCCAACTGAGCCACACTGTCCAGGGCTTGCTAGGCCTTTTAACCCTAGAGCCTTTCTAACCATCCAAGGCAGTGGTGAACAACCTTCATTTGCATTTTAAATTTTAAACTTTTGAAATGAGAATAACCTTACTGAGTCCTATAGGAGAAAACTATTTTCTTATGGCTGGATTCAACTACTTACTGAACAAAAGGCAGCTAAGGATAAAGGTGAATCTACCCCATGAAGTAGGTCTTGCCCCAGTTTACAGATGAAGATGCTGAGGCTACACAGGTGAAGTGACTCAACTAAGGCCCCGTACCGAGCATGTTCTCTGGGCTGGGGTGGTGGACACAGCTGAAGAATGAGCCCCGGCTTGGTTTCTCTTTCCTGTGACTGCAGGAACTGCTCTTTGTTTGCAATGGAGGATACTCTGACTGCTGCCTTATGCTGAGGGCCCAGGCCTTGCAAGCCCCAGCCTGCTAAAGCCTGGTCTCCCCCACACCCCCACTGGAAGGGCAGTGCTTTGAAATTTAATCCTCAGCTTCCACTCTGTGACTGTCCCTGACCAGTAGGAGCCAGTCGGTGATCCAGGCTGGGGACCAGCATTCTAAAATAGCTTATCTGCGTTCTGGTGGCCCTGGAAATATGCTCTCCCTAGACCCTTTCATTTCTGAGCTGAAAGGCTACACTNAAAAAAAAAAAAGTTTTTATTGATTTTAGAGAGAGAAACATCAATCGGCTGCCTCTTACATGCCCCCTACTGGGGGTGGAGCTGGAAACCCAGGCATATGCCCCAGGAATCCTACAGGAACCTCTCTGTACTTGGGGTGACGCTCAGCCAACTGAGCCACACTGTCCAGGGCTTGCTAGGCCTTTTAACCCTAGAGCCTTTCTAACCATCCAAGGCAGTGGTGAACAACCTTCATTTGCATTTTAAATTTTAAACTTTTGAAATGAGAATAACCTTACTGAGTCCTATAGGAGAAAACTATTTTCTTATGGCTGGATTCAACTACTTACTGAACAAAAGGCAGCTAAGGATAAAGGTGAATCTACCCCATGAAGTAGGTCTTGCCCCAGTTTACAGATGAAGATGCTGAGGCTACACAGGTGAAGTGACTCAACTAAGGCCCCGTACCGAGCATGTTCTCTGGGCTGGGGTGGTGGACACAGCTGAAGAATGAGCCCCGGCTTGGTTTCTCTTTCCTGTGACTGCAGGAACTGCTCTTTGTTTGCAATGGAGGATACTCTGACTGCTGCCTTATGCTGAGGGCCCAGGCCTTGCAAGCCCCAGCCTGCTAAAGCCTGGTCTCCCCCACACCCCCACTGGAAGGGCAGTGCTTTGAAATTTAATCCTCAGCTTCCACTCTGTGACTGTCCCTGACCAGTAGGAGCCAGTCGGTGATCCAGGCTGGGGACCAGCATTCTAAAATAGCTTATCTGCGTTCTGGTGGCCCTGGAAATATGCTCTCCCTAGACCCTTTCATTTCTGAGCTGAAAGGCTACACTGAACGTAGCTTCTGGGCTATGCCACGGGCTTGGTGGGTGGGTGGGTGGTCTGCTGCCAACTGCTACTCATCATAGAATCAAACGGTTTCTTCCAAGGACTTGCCTAGCATGTCATTTAGCCTTAATTAAGAAGAAATCTATGGCTTCAGAGAAAGACAAGTATCACATGATTTCACTTTTATGTGGAATCTAATGAACAAAATAAACTGACACACAAAATAGATCCAGAGACATGGGAGCATGAAAGGGGGTCAAGGGGTGGGGTGGGAAGAGATTGACCAAAGAACTTATATGCATAACCCATGAAGGCCTGAGGGGGGATGCGAGGTGGAGGGGGCCGGGGGGTGGAAAAAAGGAACATCTGTAACACTTTCAACAATAAAGATAAATTAAAAAGAAAATCTATGGCTTCAAAGCTAACGATTCACGCTGTGGGTGGGCCAGGCCTTTGGCTTTACTGGCTTCTTTTGGTGACTCCCGGGCTTTTTTATTTATCAGAGAAGCAAACTTTTATTTTAGTTCTTGTTTAGTAGTAGTTCAATAAACTTAAAGGATTTTACTTTTTTTTTAATAAACTTTTTTTTTTTTTTTTTTAATATATCTTTATTGATTTCAGAGAGAGGAAAGGAGGGAAAGAGAGCTGGAAACATCAATGATGAGAGAGTAATTGATCGGCTGCAGCCCGCAACCTGGGCATGTGCCCTGACCGGAAATCGAACCCTGATCACCTGGATCCTAGGTCGATGCTTAACCGCTGAGCCAAGCCCGGCCGGGCAGGATTTTACTTCTTGAATGCATTTCTACCCACACTGCTCTGCAAAGTGCCTTCTGTGACAGTAAATCCTCAATATTTGTGGAATTGAATTGAAGTTGTTGGTTAGGGGGTATTTAAATTAGCAGCTAAGAATTTCATTTACTTAGAATAACCCTTCTTGTTATTGAGGATAACTAAGGTTTTAAGTTTGGTTTTATAGTCTTGCATGACTTCTTAGGTTCAGCCTTTTCCTATTTCTGTCAAATTCTCACCTCTAACAACCAATTATTCTATCATCAGATTCATTATGACTGTCACTGTTCAGCTGGTCTTCAGAACTCTTTTGCAAGTAGGCAACAAACCCTGTGCTTATTGATTCCTCAGGACTTTCCAAACTTAGGGACTGTGTTCTCCACAGTTCTTTCCATTCTGTGAATTATTAAATTTATTTCATAAACTTTGTGCAATTTCGTTCAAATCATAATTGTCTGAAAAAAAGGTTTATACTGATGAGTCAAAATTTTAAATCTTAAGCTCTGACCTCTCCCCATCCTTACTCAACATGTTTGCTGAAATGCAAATAGGTATCTTGACCTGAACACATCTAAAATGGAACTTCAGATTCTGCCTCCCTCGCCGATATCACCTCAAATCCGCTCTCAGTTTTCCTCACTCATCTAATGGTGCCACAACCAAGACAAAAAGTTAGGAAAAGTTCTTGATTTTTCTTTTTTCTCACCACCTCTACCCTGACACCTGATCCATGAGCAAATACTGTCAGATTTGCCTCTAAAATAAGAAAGATTTACCTCCACAATAAATAATAAATTGGGATACCATCGTCTCTTGTCTAGCCTACCTGCTAAGCTTCCTAACTAGTCG